TGATCCCTCTCTCGCTGTCTCTCTCTCTGTCAAATAAATAAATAAAAGTCTTAAAAAAAAAAAAAGTGGAAATAATACTATCTATCTCTTAAGGCTATTGAAAAAAATCAAACTAATAGAAATTAAAGCACTTTGTAAATCATTAAATGCTATACAGTTTAATTTTATCAACGTTGCTGTCTCTCATGCGATAGGAATTTTAGTGACCATTGGTATACATAAGTGTTCCCTGTCTTTGCAAGTACCATGGTTTATTTCTCTTGGTTTGCTAGAAGAAGTTGGCCTCTCATGCTTGAGGGACAGGGCAAAAGGGACTGCTGGTTTTTTGGGTGCTGAAAGTACAATGTTGTCCACAGCTTCTAATGTTTCTAACTTTTTTAAAACAAATTCAGATTTGGTGTGCTTTTACTTTAAATGTGACCCAAGCCTCTGGAAATTTTCTGGATTTTTAATGAGTTCAGTTTTTGGCATATACTTTTGAGTATAGTATAAGACATAAAAAATATGGCTACCAAAGGAAACTTAGGTGTAATCTTTGCTGTGAATCGTTATGTTGGAAAAAGTGAAATTTATAGCTGACCTTGATTCAGTACTGAATTAGTCATCCCTTACTTATGCAGGATATTACATCAGGAATTCTTGGGTTTGTGTCCAGCCCTGAGCAGTCAACTTCCTGGACAATGAAGTCCCAGAATAGCTCTCCGTTTAACAGACATTTATTGAGCACCTACTGTGTGCCACGCATGGTGATAGTCACATCTCAGCATTGGTATTCAGGTATTTTCAATCAAATTTCAAATAAGATATAAATACTTGAATACTATTAGTAATGAAATATCCAGTCATTAGAAAAATAATACCTGAGTTAATGTGTGAATGTAATAAAATAAGACAAGGGACTTGATTTATGTTCAGAATCTTAGGGCTTTGGTGTTCTAGTTCCATTTTTACGGTGCTCTATGAAATGCCACACATAGAACATTTATTAATAGCTGGGTAAAATTATGGTTCTGGGAAATCTGCAACCACACATCTGTCTCTCGATCACTATACTTGTCTCTGAGCTCCCGAAGAGCAAGAATTATAACAACTCATATTTAAGGACTTACAGTGTTCATCATAACAACTCCATAGCAACTATGAGAGGGTTTAGCAACTTATTCAAGACCACACAGCTAATAAGTGACAAAGCTCTTTTTCAAAACCACCTCAGCATGACTTTACAATTAATGTTCTTTCCCACGATGCCATCTTATTCCCAGTCCCCAGCACAGTCATCTGGCTCTGTAGATAGCTGTCGATGCTGGAATAAATAATGGATAACTTTCTTCCACCTTGCTTAGCCAGAGATGCCCTGTTCTTTTTTAAAACAATTATTTTCCTTTTGGTTTTAAACTTCATTTGAAAATATTAAAACTGGCTTACACTATATTCTTAAATAAAATCCATTTCTACCTTTTCTCCCTTACAGCCTTTCATCATGTTTCTGTTTACCCAAAGAAGGAGCTTCCTTTTTTCATCCATTTCACAGCAGGACTGTGTTCTTCTACAGCAATGATAGCTCTTCTCACACACCAGTTTCCTGAAATCATGGGTGTTTTTGCTAAAGCTGTAAGTATGATCTCAAGGACCTGTGTAGAGTATTTGTAAAACACACAAGAAACCATCTCTGATCTGTTTGTGCTAAACCAGTTGATCAGTGGAAGATGTTTGTATAGTAAATTACAGGAATTGTTTTGTAAAGTTGCTGCTATAAATATGTCAAACATAAGTTTTTGCTGACTTGAGCTATGTTTTTGTTGCTTAAAAGTTTAAAAGAATACAATGGCATAACATGATAAAGTTGGTCTTTGTAGATCACTTTTGGTGGTAAACATAGCACTTGTTACTAGCTAAGGAATAACCCAACTCTTTTAAATGCTTTCTGTTTGGCACTAAAAAAAATTTCCATATTTGAGAAACAATTCTCTATTTCGGAAACAATTCCCTATTTCGATTTTTCCATTTAAATGAAATCATTAATGGTAAGGTTTGCTGATGGAGAATAAGTAGGTAAGATGGGACAGATGGAACATTCACCCTGGGTACAGAATGTGCTTCTTTTTTTTTTTTTTTAAAGATTTATTTATTTATTTGAGAGAGCGAGAATTAGAGAGAGAGAGTACGCGAGAGGGGGTAGGGTTAGAGGGAGAAGCAGGCTCCTCGCTGAGCAGGGAGCCTGATGCGGGACTCAATCCAGGGACTCCAGGATCATGACCTGAGCCGAAGGCAGTCGCTTAACCAACTACCCAGGCGCCCCAGAATGTGCTTCTTTACTCAAAGCTGCTCACTGTTGTATCTGCATGTTCTTAATTGACCTTCCCCAACGTTGGGTGTAGAACCATGGATAGACCTTTATTTTCATTTTTATCCTTTAATTTGAATTACTTCCCCATTTCCTGAGCCAGGTCCAGAAGGTACTTGAGGACTGATATTAGAGAGACTGTCCGTCCCATGATTGTTTACTCTTCTACACAAACTTAGTAATTAATGTCACTGGCTCAGAGTAAAATTACCAACTTTAAGTTGCTAAGCCTTTAAAAAATGGGTCTTTCTTATACATCTTCACATTTTTACCAGGTAACAATAGTTCAAACCCAAAAGGAAAATGCTAATTCATTTTAGTCCCAAATCAAAAAGCATTGAGAACTGTAGCAGCACTAGCCCTTACTCGGCAATGTAATTTCTATATTTTTCTCTATATGCCTCTGTTCTAACTCCCTGTTGCCTCACAATTTCTTTTTCTGCCTTAAGAACGGTTTATTTTGTGCCTTAAAGATTAGTTGGTTTTCTTTTGGCACCAGGAGTAAAAGCACTGGTTTGCCTTTTTCCCTGAAGGTCAGCTGTATAATGTGTTAAGTTGCCACTGGCGGTAGGCCTAGCAGTCTGAGACTGCACTTGATTCTGGGTCAGTCTTCAAGGAGAATGACTTTCCACTGTTGTTCAGGGAGTATAGATATTTGGGTTGGAAACCGACTGTTTCCTTTTAGTGTGAAAGGGAAGTGTAGTGATCATACCGTAACTGTTGTTCGCGGTGGTGCTGACTGGGGAGTGAGTGCATCTCAAACTGAGATGACCTTACTGTGTACTCTGGCATGGAAAAAAATTGACTGGAAAGGGAATCCCATCCATTTAACAACTGGAAAAATATATGCAGCTGTGTATTTGAGATCACAGGCAGGCAGTGGGAGAGATGGTCCTTGGGGTTCTCTCAGAGTATTGGAAAGGAGGTAAAATCGAGTGAGGAGAGAGATTTAGAATCTGGAATCGATATGTAGCAATTGTTAGTAGTATACTTCCATGAGGTACTGGCTAAAATGAGTGCAGAGTGTATTCACTGTCTACTCTATCCATCAATGTTAGTATGTAGCATCTGTCTTTACCTGAGACATGGCTGATGCACCAGAAGAGTCTTTAAGATTACATCGCACAAGCTCCTTAGCACTCCTGCAGCGGAGTCTGAGAATGAATAATTATATATTTTAAATGGAAGCTTCTTTTTTTAGACTAAAAGTTATTAATTTACTGTGATTCTAGTTAATGAACAATAAACAGGCATTTATTTACCATCCTTTGATATTTGTATAGTTGGTGGTATATGGTTATAAATGTGCCTTACAGCAAACTTTTATAGCCACATTTTATGCAGTGGCCTTTACATATACATTTTTAGTTCCTAAAAGCTAACTCTTTACTCAAGGTACCTGCAGACCAGTATTTGGCATGCTGCAGTACCAAGGGCAGGTTCCACTGAAGAATTTATGGAAAATGATTACATGCAGGCCATCTCCAGCTTATAAACACAACGTATAAATGCAAGGGAGCTGGAGGCTCAAATTCTGCTTCTTCCCCTACTTAATGGTGTATGCAGTAGGAGCTTCACCATCACCCAGGAGCTTGTTAGAAAGGCAGAATCTCAGGCGCCACTCCAAACTTCCTGAATCTGCCTTTTAACAAGATCATCTGTGCGTTTAAAACTTGAGAAACCCTGCTCTGGTCTCCCCGCAGTCGGAGGAATTTAGACGCCTGGATAGTGCTGCCTCTTCCAGGCAGAAAAGGGGCAGCATTACAGAATGGCATGAGCATAGGCTCTGGAGCCAGACTGCTTTCCTTTGAGTTCCAGCCCTGACACTTACTGGCTGTGCAACTTCAGGTAAGTTCCTTAGCCATTTCTCCCCCTCATTGTAAAAGGGGAATAGTACTACCTTGTAGGCGTTTGTGAGGGTTAAAGGAGTTTAAAATATGACAGGTGTTTAGAACCATGTCTGTCCACAGGAGAAACTAGGGAAGTGTCACTCTTGTCGCCACCCATCATTGTCATCATTATCACCAAAGTGCAGCTGTGATGAGAAATCCTAACCCCTTCACGTTGGGAGGAGCTGTGTCCTGAAAGTAAACTCAAAATGTATTTTCCCCTGGAAATTGCAGTATAAATCGTGGCTAGGTGTCATTTAAACAATACTGCTGGTACATTATGTGTATTTGTACCACCAAAAGTGGAGAAATGTTTCAGATTGTAGGCGCTGGCAGACTGCCTGGTAGAACATCAAGTATTGATAAATTGCAAACGGCCTATGTTAGGAGTTTAATTACGTCAGGTATTTGATAGCCAAATATAGTGGAAATCAATCTATTTAGTAAAGCAAAGCAGTTTCAGAAAATTTCCTAAATTTTTTCCATTGTTATCACGGTCTCTTCCTCATCCAGTGTATTTTTATATTAGCTCATATGCTAGAGTAAATTTAATTTGAATTTGTTAAAATACGTTTGTTACAAAAATTGCTTTTTTGTGAAGCAAGGCACTAGGGATTAATGCTTTTTCATAATCTTCACTGTTCCTCAGATTGAGATAAATGGAAGGGTATGAACTAGAATGGTTAGTGATTTTAGTGCCCCATCTTTTACATGGTATGAAGCTGTGTGGAATAAGACTTTAGTTTCAGCAAGCTAGGACTTTCTTTCTTGATTTTTCTCCTGGCTGAGATGAAAACCACGTCTGACATTCAACATAGAGCAATAAAAAAAAAAAAATTGCATAAATCCCTGGAGATGTGGAATGTGCTGATATCAGAGCTGATATTCTCCAAGGCCAGAATTCCTGAAAAAGGAAAAATTGCTTTTAAGTGGTAGGTCATTTTCTCACCTGCTTTGAAGCCTGCTGGGTTAAATATGAGAGTTCAAAGTAAGGGTAGCCAGCAAACCAAATGAACTGGAATTCGATTCTGCTTATCTGAAAGGAGCTTCTTTATTTAAGAGCAGCAATGCCCTCTCCTTAGAGAACCAATCTTCATCTAGCCTGGCCCCTTTCATTTCTCTCCTGCAAGAAAAGCTTTCTTCTTAGTAAGCCTTGGGAGGGCGTTATCACAGCAGTGAACACTATAGATGGTCTTTGGGGGTTTCACTGACTTACTGATAAATTCAGGCTTGTGGCATGTGACTTTAGTACTTTGAATTCAGAAGTGTGTTTGCATATAAAAATCTCTAGTTGGGTTTTAATGAAACAGGCTAGATAGCCTTTGCAACCTGGCAGAAAAAGGTGTTAATGGGTAAAGACAGGAATCAGAAAGATTCCCAAATAAATAGTTTGTTTCACTAAAGCAAAACTTTGTTGAAATCCGTTTCACTGAACACACACTGTAGCTGTGCTGAGGTGGGAATGGGCCCTGTTTCCACATATTTTTACTAATCTTTATGTGGGAAAATGTGGTTGGACATGCCAGTGATGAATTTCTGAGCAACTCATAATTGGCTGGCTCCACTGTAACTAGGGCCTAACAATCTGCTTGATTAATTCTTTAAGGACTACATTAGCCAAGTTGTATGATTTCCAAAGATATAGAAAGTCAGATGTTATGCTAACAAAAGACCTTTCTACAGAATGTCCCACTGGGATTTCTTCAGCCCCTTCCCAAAAATAATTAACATTTTTCTCCCCAAATTACATTTTAAAAAATAATAAGCAGAAATAAATGCCAAGTGTGTTTTACTGAAGTGATCAAAACTTTTGAGGTTTGTACACTATTCTCATCATTTTTTTTCAGGGCAAAGATCGTCTTCATACCTAGGGGAGTTGATAGATAATTATAACTTTATATTGATATATACCAGTAGAAAAAATATATTATTTCTAAAGGTTCCCAATTTTCCATTGTCATAACCAGTGACATGAAATTTGTTCATAGGTGAAAGTGATTTTTTTATATTCTCCATCTGATTTCATTCATGCTAAAAACCTATGATAATTGTATCGCTCTTTATTAAATACATAGGGCCACATTCAGAAATTGAACCAACAAGTAAAACAAGTTTCTTCACTTTGTTTGAAAATGGATTACATTTCAAAGCTGTGAGACTTCTTTAGTTCCTAAGAACTGACATAGTTTTTAAAACATTTTGAATTGTAACCAAGCTTATATTCCCATAAAATATTGTTCTGTAGCCATGCTCTTTCCACAGCAATATATCTGAGGTATTTCCCAGAGATTATACTGATAATAAAAGGAGCCCATTGTGTGACAGGTCAAAAAATTTTAAATGTTTACATTTTTGTTCCCTTGTTAGTGCCACTGAATTCAATCTTTATTTGGGCAGTCTAGTATATTCCAATTTTTATTTTCTTAATCAATTGGGATATTTCTAGCAAAAGAAAAGATGTTCTCTACTTCCATTAAGGGCATTTCTCATGCTTCATTCTCATTGTTTCCCTTTAAAAAGAACCAGACTGAGAAGATTGTGATATTGCTGTTCTTCTTCTTTATCCATATTTTCTGAGTACTAAACTCTTATTTTCAAAGCGGGGGAAAAAAAGAATAAAAATTAAGACAGTGTACTTTTTAACACATGTTTATACCCCTTCCCCAGGGTTTCCTTCAGTTTTGAAGTTTGTGGAAAACACCCTCTTTCCCTATTAACATGTGCCTGTCAAGTATGAAGTTCACAAAAGCTTTCCTTCCCTGAATTTATTTGGCAGTATATTTAATCATCCTTTCCCCCTCAAAGCAGATGTCTCAGTGCCAAAGTTTAGGACATCCTGTCACTAACTGCTACTGATATATTGATTGCTTAATTATTAGCACTTGGGGCAAATGGACTGCATAGCAGTTTTCAGAAGAGTGGTGCTTAGATATTGATGTCAATTGCTTACTCTAACCCCATTACATGAGTGATACTAGAATTCACATTAGGAAACCTACTGATTTTTCTTTTAGAAAACCTTTGTTTTTTGCAGACCCCGCAAAGTCCTCTAAATGGAGAGAATAATGGGATACAGAATAAAATTATAATCTTGAGGAATAGTTTTTATTGGCTTCTTTCTTGAGTTGAACTTTGCTCTTTCTCCCACCAATCAAATTTCTAATGCTCAAGAGAACTAAATTTGTATGACTATTTAATATATTACGATTCTAAACCAGGAGTAATTTAGATTTCAGTTAGTTATTATCTTTGTTCTTAAGAGTGTATATTTAGGCTCTCATTTATTCTTACCCGAGCCATTGGAGGACAGATTGTGGTTTTCCAGTGTTTTAGATGGGCAAGTTTGAGTCATTCAAGTAAAGTGATTTGCTTGAAATCACACAACAGGTAGCCCTTTAGTGATGATATATATGCTTGGTTTCAGTAAAGTGTCAGTTCACAACTTAGGCCAAAACAAGTACAAAAGAATATATTTGAAACAAAATATAGTGAGGCTGAAGGGATATAGAATGATGGCGTGGTGATAGTAAAGTGGTTTTGCTAGAGAAGTCTTCCTACAGGAGATGAATTTGGAGAAGAGTTTTAAATGAGAAGGCTAATATGGATTTTCAGAAAATAGGAAGGACGGTTAGGTTGCAGAAATGCTTACTGCAAAAACCAAAACATCAGTAGACACACTGTCTGGAGAACTCTTCACTCTTCACAACATAAGCCTATTTGATGAACTCTGATGCTTTGAAATAAAGAATGCCCATTTACTTTTTTTGTCTTTCAAGTTGGCTCACTTTAATTTCATTCCTTTTCTTTCTAGTAAGCCACTTAAGAACGAAGAACACTGTTTGGTCCCTTCCATCCACACTCATACAATGGTATAAAAAACTTCAGCCTATCTAACTCTCTGAAATGTACAGTAATATGAAAGAAGCAGCAGGCACTGCTTTGTAATGATTCAGAGGGAATTTGATTGACTCTCTGAAATGGTAAAAAAAAGAAAAACTTTTTTTTTTTTTAAAGATTTTATTTATTTATTTGAGAGAGAGAGAGAGAGCATATGAGAGGGAGGAGGGTCAGAGGGAGAAGCAGACTCCCTGCCGAGCAGGGAGCCCGATGCAGGACTCGATCCCGGGACTCCAGGATCATGACCTGAGCCGAAGGCAGTCGCTTAACCAACTGAGCCACCCAGGCGCCCCAGAAAAGAAACTTTTAATATAAAGTACAAATGTATACCCCATGTTTCAGTATCATTCTTCTTTCAAAATCAGAGCGTAAATTTGTGAAGGATTATCTGGGGAAGTTTAACTGAACAGAATAAACTTTGGTCTAAAATATAACATGTGCGTATCTTCTGGCTCACATGGGAATTTTAGGTAGCAGATGTACTTCTAGTAGTTGTATCAGTAGGTAGGAAACGTAGGTGTGCTTCTTAATGCTGATGAGGCCTTGATACAAGATTGGCTATTGATAGTATTCTTTCTGAATCTGAGGAAAAATAAAATTATCTGTCTTATTTTTGTAATGACATTAAGATTGTCTTACGTCCATCTCTAACAGCCAGCTTCAAGAAAAGAAATTACTTGGGCTTCAGATGCTGCTCAACAAAATTAAGAGAACTGATATTCAGAGAATTCAGACCACATAATCACCCTCTTATCTCATCCTATAATTTCAAGCATTCTGAAAATGAAACGTATATGTATTCTTCAAAGTGTTGGAAAGGCCTCTATTCTTATTGAGCACTTGTAAATTACGAGGAGGATATATATAGAGAGAGAGAGAGAAGCAGTTTGGGGAAGAATTCAGAAGGGAGCATATTCTCACAGCCTTTGTTAGGAACGTGCCCGCTCTTATTTTCGTCTATTCAAGATGCCGGAGTCCCACTTTCTTTGTGAAGCCAGAGTTCAAGCTTTGACTCCCAGGTAGCAGCAGCTTTACAATTAAACTTTAATCCCTTAGTGTTTGTTAGACTCCTATCTAGAGTATAGCTGCAACTATTCTTGGCGGGCAAATACATTGCTGTGTTTCCTGCAGTCACAGTGAGATAGAAGAATGTTCTCTGGCTGGGGTGTGGATGAAGGCACTTTACTAATCTTATGCATAATTCATCCTTGGTTGCTGGGGTACTCAGAGTTGAAACTTTGCCCTCTGATAAAATTCAGCTGGATTTTTTATTTACTTGACTCTGATCCCTTTGGATTTAGCCCTTATTGAGAGCCTGGGGATTCTAATTCAACTAAGCCCTAGCTGCGTAGACTTTTCTTATTAATTTGCTCTTGGTGTATTTTAGCTATTGTTCAGACCGCCGTAAACAACAACAGCAACAACAGCTGTGCTAAAGAACATGCAGTTCAGAGGCCTGGAGACCCTGAAAAGATTTCTTCTTTCGGTATTAGCTGATTGACTGGAAGGACTCCAATAGGGCTTATCTTAGTTTGTTTTCAAAGTGTAGTTTTTAAAGAGCCTCCGCATTTAAAACTATGTGAACTCTTGTTCTATAGCATGCCACAGTATGGTAATGATTATTCTGTAATGTACTCCACGTTTTCACCATTCGTATTCATTATATTAAGATGTTACTACCGATGGATCTGTTCCTTCCTTCCTTCAGTGAGCAGGTATGTGTTGGGCCCCTCTATGGAGTATGAGATACAGTGTGTGTCCACAGGTAACTCGTAGTCTAGCAGCAGGGGGTTTGAGACAGGCAAGGGATGTGTTAGTATAAGACAGAAGCTGCTGCCACAGCAGTAGATTAGCTCACCCTTGCATGTTTATTCATTTGACTGGAAGTGACTGAGGAGTTATTTTCACGTGCCTCACATAAGATGTAGTGACCTAAAAAGTCATTTTAGACTCAGGACTTTCCCTTTTGGAAGACTGTTCAGTTAGGAGCTCTTTCAGTCACACAAAGAAGGTAGAAAGAGGAGCCTCTATTCTCTTTCAAACATGAGGCATGTAGGACTTTCATCTTAACACTTAACTGAGCAAGTACATGTTTTTATAAACAGTGGTATTCCTTATGTTTATCTGAATAGTTTAAACTTCATCGAAAAGTGAAGCGTTCCATAATTCAGAATTTCAATAAGAAATATCTTGCCTCAGATTCACATAGTAGCTGCCATAAGACAAAAGCCTCTCACGCTCCTACATTTTCATTGTCCTTGTTTGTGTCCTCTCATTTCTAATAATGACAGATTGATAAAAGGTAAGGGCCATTCTGGTTTGGAAAATGAAACAGCACCATGTCATTGTCAAGCAGAATGGGGTAGCAAGAGTTAGGACTAAAATTACTTGGGTCTGTGGTCATGTGAGAGAGACGCGAAGGAGCCACTCAGAATTTCCCAGAGCCTACTGTTAATGTCAAAGCTGCATCCTACAGTCACTGATTCTGAAAACCGGCACAAGTGTTAATTTTTAAAAAATAATAAAAAGACATTGGGGTAGGCACTGAAATAAGGTTCCTTTTCCTTCTCTCCCAAGCTGAATTTTGCTGATCAATTCTGCATCCTGGACAATTCTACCTTTTTATAGGGGGGACCACCAAGATTTTCTAAGGAACTACAAAATATTTCCAATCTTTATTGGCTCAATCAAGTTTATGTGCTAACTGGATCATTGGGGATATGACCTTGGAATACATATTTCAAAATAGGCACAGGACCTGTCCTTGGGGAGCTTATACTAATTGGGCATGTCATCAATAAATATGGTAAAATGATGGAAGTTTATGGCCCAAGACCGTACTAGGGGGTCAAAGAGTATACTGATTTAACTCGGTGTGGCAGCAGAAGAAAGGAAGTGGGGCAGTTTGAACAATGACTTGGAAGCAGAAGACTGCAGATGAGGCTTTGGAATTTACTGGTGATTGTTAGTTCTCTAGCAATCCATCCAAGCTTGCAATATCTGCTGGTATAAATAGAAATTATCATTCTTTGGGTAGGTTAACAGAATATGTATCTCCAGATAATGAGTTAGATGCATGATAGCATCTTCCAGCTCAGAAGTTTGATTTGTAACATGCTGGTAAGGAGGCACATTCATATTTCTGGGTTGTAAGGAGCCCGCTCTCATCCATTCACCTGTGTTCCCGTTTAGACTAGACCATGTCTGCCAATATTAGGTCTCTAGAGAAAGAGTTAAGTCAAAAGTCAATTCCAGACCCCCTGAGCTCCTGGCTACCACCTACTCCCATAGGACTTGGACAAAGATAATGAACACAGTTACTTAACTTTTTTTTTTAACTTTTACCTTTCAGGTGGCATTGAGAGTAATCATCTCTCTTGGCCTCAAGCTCCATATTAAATTATTTTTTTTAATTGCTTTTGAGCAGTAACTTTTCTTTGGTCGCTTAACCAGTCATACAAGTTGAGACTTCTGTCTCGATGTCCATTTTATACTAGCTGCCCTGGGAGAACAGATGAAAAATAATAAGTCAGTTAGATATTTTATGAGTATTGAGATCCCTTCCATTCAGAAATGTAAATAAAATAACCAGCATGAGCAATCAGCTTATGTCAGATTCCGTGGGTTTATGTTACATAGGGAAATTATAGTGCAACCTGAAACATGCCTCTTAATGAATTCATAGTGGTGTCACAGTTGAATGTAAACCCTTGAGCTTTTCTATTGCAAAAGGTTTCAGAAATCACCTTTTATAAACTGCCTAGGGAAGGAGGAAAAAACTAAGATGATACCAACAAATGCTGTCACTGTGTAAGTGGCTGCCTCCCAGCACCAAATTGTGCCAGCTAAGTAAAGTGAACACTTAGGATACTGCTCACCTTTTAGCTTATTCAATGGTGTGTGGGTGTGTGTGTATGTGTGTGTGTGTGTGTATTCTAATATAGTTGACCCTTGAATGACATAGGAGTTACGGGCACTGACCTCCTGTACAGTCAAAAATCCACTTATGACTTTTGACTCCCCATAAACTTAATGTTGACTGGAACCCTCGTCAACATAAACAGTTAACACACATACTGTATGTTGTATTGTTACATACTGTATTCTTATAATTAAGAAAATGTTATTAAGAAGGTCATCAGGAAGAGAAACAAATACATTTCCAGTACTGCACTGTGTTTATAAAACAAATCTGCGTAGAAGTGGACCTGTGCACTTCAAACCTGTGTTGTGCAAGGGTCAACTTACTCTGTTTCTGAAAGAAGCACAAGAGAGTGCTGTGGAAGAATGGGTTGTCCTTGTGATTTTTGTCCTCAAAAATTAAGAAAGCTCAGTAAGGAAGTAGGACAGGAGCCTGGTAAATAGCTCTGTTTTTACCTTCACGATGCAAGAAGCCAGTGACTTAACTGGAAGTTAGGAAATCGGAATTTGTCTCTTGTTTTTGGCAGCCACTCTTATCTAGCAGCTTGTAGTGCACAAGACCTGTCTTCTCCCTTATCAGTGAACTGGTTTGGCGGTCCCTAAAGCTCTTTCATCACTCTCCTCCCATTCACTGTGGCCTCACATATGATGAATCTGCTCGCCACAGAAGTCCTGTATGTCAAACGGGACATCGAGGCCTGTCAAATTCTAAGGTGGGGAGTGAGGGAAAGAACCACATATTTTTAATTTTAAATTATTCCTTTTTTACATTGTAATTTCTTAAGAGTTTGGCTGAATTTATGCCAGCGTCTGGGCCTGTAAAGCCTCCATTAATGCATCACAATTGTGGACAGAATATTTCACATCTCTTACTTCGTCTAGAACCTCAAATGCTAGTGAGTTGTCATTAACACTTAGCATTTGTTATGTACAGTGTAGCTCTCTTTTCGTCCCTATACATGTAACAAACGGACTCATCCCCTTGCTTTCCCATCGGTGCCCCGGCGTTGATGGACATAGATCAAGATGCTGCGCGGCCCTGCAGAGGCTCCGCACCATGTGACAGTCGAGGCGCATGCAGCTAGCTCACATTAGTTCAGCTCTTATCTTGGCATTCTCATTTCTCGGTCGTCCCCAGTGTATATAATATGTACCGGCTTGAAATTCCTTATATATTGCTTGCACATTCTTCTACGTTTCAGCGCATACCAGTTCCTTCGCTGTAGAACCCCTTCTCTGACTCCCCTCCACCAGTCCATCCCTTATCTTTTAAAACTCCAACTCAGAAGTCACCCCTATAGAAAGGCTGCCGCATCACCTCCGCCAGATTGCTCTATTCGGAGACTTCTGTTTCTCAGTCCATTCCTCGAACTGTTTTTCCTTTGTGATTGTTGCTGTGTAGCTTGTCACCCAATAGGCATAATGATCCGAGGAATGATGATTTTCCTGTATGCCTTGTCTTTGTCTATTACATACAAACATTTTGAAGGCCACGGCCTTCTCAATTTCCCCAGAGTTCTAGTCCGCCTTCCACACCTTTTCCCTTTACATCATAGCTGACTGCCTGGAGGAACAGGCCACGTGTTCAGGGCTTGGCCTCCACCTCAGCCTGAGTGTGGCAGCCTGCTGAATAGGCCCCGACAAATGGGAAGGATTTAACCCTTCAGCTTGGCAGTCTCCGCATTCTACTCAGACGCCTTCAAGGAGTAGATGTGGGATCAGAAATAGGTCTGGAGACGGGAGCAGGGAAATTTTTAATGAAGGCTTTGTCCTTCCTTTTCACACAAGACCCATGAAGCTGCTGTCGTCAGCAGCTCACCCGACACTCTCCTGCTCTGCCTCTTTTCCAGGAGTCAGGGTTAGTTTCAGAAAAAGCCTCTTGCTAGAAGCCATGACCTCGTACTTTTATCCCCTCCATCTGGTGTGCGGCCTCATGGGGCTGTGCTGCTATGCAGGAGGTGAGCAGTGGAATTCTTTAGATGATGACTTCTGAGCCCACATGCGGAGGCAGTGGGGGTGGGGAGCAGGGAGAGCCGTGAGAGCCAAGATCGATGGACCAAAAAGTAAGGTTTGCTCTGGGACAGATCCTGACTATAGGTAGACTGTTTTCATGAGGTGTCCTTCCCCTAGCTCAAGTGGGGGCCTAGGTCTATGATGGATGAACATTGTGTTCCTGTAGTTTTCCCTTCTGCCTTCACAGTTGGGGTGCAGGAGTGGGATAGGTAGGGTATGTGCAGGCTTATGCTGTTTCTGAAGGAATGCATTCCAGGGTTGAACAGGGAAGGGTTCCCCCTTGCACACATCCTCTCTTGGAGCTGCTTTGTCTCACTGTCTTGGACCTAAACAGAAGTCCAGATTTTGAATGAGGGTGGGAGGAGGGGGGTTGAGAGCAGCAAAAGTTTTTGATCAAGTAAAAATCTGTTGTCTGCCTCATCTCATAGGGGTTTCTCTGCAGGGTGGATTCTCCTTGCCTTGGTGTAGGTAAATTACTTGTCTCAGCTAGAGGTCCCAGGACTTTTACCAGGCCTTGAGTAGGCATTTGGCCTGGGATAGGATGGGTTTTTAGCACTCTCATTCCCTCTTCTCACTTTCCTAGCCCAGGAGTTGACAGCGTTTAAAAAAAGAGAGTGAAACCTCAAAGGAAATTCTAATACATACTTTAGAAGCCCAAAGCCTTAACAGTTTCCGCTCACGGCTTCTCAGGACTACTTGTACTCTTTGCGCTTAGCATCACTTTAAAAGAACTAGATAAAATTAAAACAAATGGTTAAAGTGTTAATCTGAAGAAGAAAAAAAGGAATAGAAAGTGCTAGGAGCCAGAGTAGATTAAATGCAGACTACTTAGTGTAGTGATCATTTTGTGGCAGTGGAAACAGTGGCCAAAATGACAGGGGATTCATTGATGTGGTGAAGGAAGGTGTAGGCTGTTCCTGTTGTAAATTCTGCTCACCTATACTCTCCTTGAATATTTTGTGTCCATTTTTGTTGTGAAGGGGCTGGGACACTGGCCCTTCCAGCCTGAGGTAGTCTCAGTCTTTGAGGAGAACACACAGGGTGTGAAGTGAGAAACCCCGGACTTGAGTTCTGTCTGTGCCACTCCGTATCACATGACCTCAGACAGATCCCTGAGCCTTTCTGAACAGCACCTGTGCAGTGAGAATGTCTTCCTCCTCACAGGGTCGGTGTGAAAATTAGGTATATGTTAAAGCATTTTGTCCTTGAAAATGCTTCTCATGAACATCACAGTTATTCTCTGGGAACCCCACCCAGACAGTTGTCATTAGGACAGCTGTGGATTACCTGGTCTTCCCTTTTTCTTCACTCAGTTTAGCCTTTCTGTTTGGTCAGGCCTGTGTACAGGGGCTGGTGGTGGTGAAGTAAAGTCACCAGATTTCAGCTCCTTTTGGTCAAAGAAAGAGAACGTCTACGTCTAGCTGCTCCACCTATAGCCTCATAGGCAAGAACGGAAGTGAGCACACAGTAGTTCAGAGTTAAGGGATCAGGGGCAGAATGCTTCCCTTGCTTTCTCAACTCCAGGATGACTAAAATGTCTTCAATAAATGAGGAAGGCCCCAAAGATGCTCAGGGATAACTTAAGCCATGAATGGAAAGTGGAAAAATGTACTTAAAAACTCTTCCCGTCTTCTATCCCTTTGACCTTCGGGGTCAGGGACAGGCATATTATTGACACTCCACTGGCTATTGCCTGAAACCTGCCAGTCACCCAAAGAGATTAACAGCTTCTAGGAAAGCTCAGTTCAGTGCAGCAGCTGTGACATATTTACCCTAGAAAAGTCACTGCTTGCTCCTCTCCAGGACCTTTCTCTTATGGACATTATCTCTGGAACCCAAAGCTATCCTGTTTTCTAACCAAATAAAAGTTAAAAACAACAGGTCTTGGGCTGCAGGCTTGGTAATTCTACTTCGTGCAGTCCTAGGAGGCTGCCCCATCATCCTTAGCACACAGGGCACAGATTGGACTATCCCCAGCATGAACGAGCCATGGGAAGTCCCACAGTCTTAGCCATTCTGCTTGGGTGGCAATTGTCTCCTGTTGATCTCTCCTCTCCATGCCTTTTCTGCATCCTTTCCCTGCCACTTCCCAGGGGAATACCAGTCCCCAAACCGCACAGCTGCTCGCGTATTGATAATGGAACTTTTTAACATTCCTTGGTGATGGCTGAATCCCTGAAGTTGGTATGACTTTTGAAGGATTTGATTGAAATCCAGTTGCTTGTTTTATTGTCGGGGAGAGGGAGGAGGACTAGAACTCTGCTGTAGCTTGGGAGAAGCTATGTGTATGTCTACAGAAGCGCAGCTCATGTGTGTGCATTTCCTCCCCGTTGTGCGCAGGCTCACAGGAGGAGCAAAGAGTGGAAAGGAAGCATCTCTTTCTTGTTTTCCAACATTGCTTCAAAGGTGCCCAACCCCCGTAGTAGCAGTCAGTTCCCAAGTGGAGGGTGGGGGCAGAGGCCTCCACCAAGGCCATCAATAACCAGGTGTGAGCTACAGGTCTCCGTGTAATGTGAAGCTCTCCCGTATTTCATTTCTGCACCCAGGGGGCGGCTCTGCAGGATTGCTTACGGAGAGCTCTGTGTCTGGCACCTCTCTCCACAAGGCCCAGGCGCCCAGGGTCCCACGGACCTGCCCAGGAATGCATCACATTATTCTCTGGTGCTGTAATTTGGCTGCAGGAGCTAGGCTGACGGCCTCCCAGGGATGAGAAACATACTCTCCCTGGCGGCCTCCCTTGGGCTTCTGCCCTATGACCACTGAGGGCATTTAAAAATCTCAGAAAGGGTGAGGAAAAAAGAAAAATCCTGATTATCTCTCTTATATTAAGCCATGTAGAAACCAACGTCCTGAGTGGGTCCGAGAATTTGGCAAAAGACTTAGTGGTTGGTGTTCTTGCTAAGGGAGGTGAGAAAAAGGAGAAGAAATTACTCTCTGCAATAGGGAGGAAGAGAAACGAGGTTGTAAGTGGTCACGAGTCAGACCTACAAGACTTTTTGCAAACAGACGTTCAGGGCCAGGCAGTGTTTAATTTTTTTAAATAATCCGAAGTCCCTGATTTCATTTTTCCAGCATCATTCTAAGAAAGCATATGGGTTAGCGCTATTATTCAAGACTAGCAATCACAGAAGTTGGCTCTTACGTGCAGGACTAGGTTCAGGCTGGCGTTCTTACTTGTACATGAGGGAAACTGGCCACAGGCTCTGCAGCCAAGGTATTTCAGCCACGTGCCTTCTCTAAAAGAGGCTAAGACCTTTAAAGGATAGAGATCATGTCTTTGAAGCTAACTTTGTATCCAAATGGCACTTTCTGCAAGGCATTCTACTAAATATTGAAAGTTAGAAGAGATGAGGACTGACACGAAGGAGTGTCAGAGAGGAGAGGGGCGAAGGGACTGCTGCCAGAGGGACAGACCTCTACTGACCAGAGGATGGGTGGGAGGGGGTGGTTAGAGGCAGTGAGTGGGTGGCAGCAGAACTAAATGGAGCCCTGACTGCACCAAATGCAGTTCTCCTTTTGCTGCTTGTTCCACATAAATTTGTTTGTTTATTGTGGAATGGATGCCTGTTGTCCAAAGCCAATTGGAATGCAGAGGCAAGCTAAGAAATAAGAGGAAAAAGTAATTGTTTGGCCATCATTCCTTCTTGGGACCACATAGCCTCAATAGTGGGGCTCACATGGACCTCTTTTCTCTCACTGTCCACCCCACTGTTCATACATATCACTCTCTGGCCAGCATGCTCTTAACCACTTACAGCAACGAACTACAGTTTGGAGCCCAGGAGAAGCACAGAGCAGTATGAGATGCCAGAAGAGGCTCAGTTCCTTCCACGGGGTAAGAACTGAAAAGGAATAGGTGACAGAGCACAGGCAGAGTGAACTTGGGTTGAAGTCCCAGGAAGGCCTAGCTATCCTTTATGCAGGAACCTGGGCGTTCTTGTGAGTAGGGGCGGACTGGGACCCGAGGCTCTACTCAAAGACAGTACCCTTATGTCAATTCCTGCAGTTCTAGTCTTGAGTCAGACTGACTATGACCCCCTTACCTTTCCACTACTCCAAGGCTTTCTTCCTCCTAATCCCAGCTCAAGATGTCAGAAGTTCTTCTCTTCCCCTCCCATTTCCCCCTCCCTAATCCCACCATTGGCTCATCAGTTATCCACTCTGCAAGGAAGACATTCCCCTGGCCTGACTCACTCAGTCCCATTTCTCCACAGGAATCCCCTCACCGCAGACCACAAGGGCCCTGACTAGCTCATGTTTTGTGTTAATGGATGTGAAACCGGAGCAAACCCCTCACCAAAAGAAAAACCACCCTAAACTCTCCCACACAGGTCTCAGCAGGTTACACAAATATTAGTCCTATCATCCAAATAAATCTGCCCCCATGGCCCAGAGCTCTGGCTCCCCCATCCTTCTGCTGCCTGTGCAGAGTGAAGCTGCGCCACAAACACGTGAGGACCCCAAGGGTTGTTGGAGGAACTTGGAAAGGAGGGGGGGTGCCTATACTCAGAATTCCTTGTGTAGGCCCCTTAATCTACAGCCTGCTGTCAATACTGTACAGTTCTAAATGGAAGGTTCTAAGAGACATCATGATGGGCTAGGCCAGTTAGGGACTTTGGTAAGAGCGTCCGATGGCTGGAATGGGGGTCATAATTAAAACTCAATATCAGAGATAGGTTTGTATCCTCGCTTTACAGAGGAGATGATAAAGGCTCAGAGAATGTGGGTATCTTGCTCAAAATATCAAAAACAGTAAATGGCACAGCTGTGATTTCAACCCAGGTCTGTCATGACTGCGAATTTCTATGCCACTTTGGTCTTTTACAGTATCACCAGGCAAGAGATAGCCATTGTCTGAGTCACATAAAAACAGGACAGGACGGTTTTGGGGACTCCATGTCCTAGCCTCTAGCTTACTAAGTCTACCATCCCTGGAGACTTCTCTACTGCAAGCTTAGTTAGGCAGCGGGTAGTAGCATAGAAGGATCTCCCCTATTTAAGCCAAAGATGGAGTGAACAGTAATAATCACCAGGACTTGGAGAGTCACTAAAAAAAAAATTTGTTGAATAAATGGGGTAAGGCTGCTTTCTGAGCTGTTTACCATTTTGGCCCCAAGCCCCAGCTCTCCTTCCCTCTGTAGCCACTGGCTTCCATTCCCAGCTTTGAAGACCAGGATCCTCTCCTAAAAATTGCCCAAGCCAGAGATCCCTGCCTAGTATACCTGCCTAGTATACACTGATGCCTCATGTGGGGCCCTTGAGATCAGACCTGCTACCCTCTCCCACCCCCCATGAGTCCCATACCTTTTACTGAGTATTTCCCAAACCTGGCTGACCTCTAGAATAATGCATAGGAACTTAAAAAAAAAAAAAAATCAAATCCCAAGGCCTAGGCAGGCTTACTAAATGATCTGTTAGGCATAAGAACCACTACATGCCACTCGGTTTGAATAGGCAGCAGGTGAATAAGAGGCGAGTGAGCAACATGCTGTCTGATATAGGTTGAAAAGAGGCGGGAGATTGAACGAGAATGTATGTTTGTGTAGTCATATAATTTTTTTCCCCTACAAAATACAGCAGTTTATAAACCTATGAGCATGTGAATGGAACCTTGTCCACTATGGCTAACTCTTATCTAGCAATCCCAGACTCTTGATAATGGAAGGTTGTAGCCTAAGAGTTTCTTTTGGGGTACCAGGCAGTCTGCTCAAACTGACCCAGGGAAGAGATGTGGTTTCATCTCTGTCCCATCTCCCCTCAGTCAGGTAGGAACACAAAGAAGCTCTCCCCAGGTACCCTTCCTCTTGCACACACAAGAAGTGTCAGGAAGCCGGTGCAAAGGAAAGGAAAGATGAGCCTTGACCATGTGCTTTAGTGCAACTTCTATCACTCTGAAGACCCCTCCCTCTTCCACTCTCCCTTCTAACCTCCCAAGGTGGCAGTCAGGGAGCCATTCAATTTCTTAGATCCCCTGTCAACTCCTTCCCAGGGCTAAGGAACCAGTCAGGACACGAGAGTCCTTCTGGATTACTCTCCAAATCCTTAAATAGAAACTGTAGCAGCCCAGAGTTGAGGGTAGAGGAAGGTGTGCATGCAAAGATCTTGTGCTTTTGAGTCAGGAGGTTTGAAGTAGAGGGATGAGTGAGGTATTTCTATGTTCAGGTCTGGTCCAGCCACTCTGCCTTCTTGGGGGCCTTGCAAGTGTGGACGTCCACAGTGTTTCTGCACTCCTTGCATCGCACAGCACAGCACCAGTGGAATTTGCACTCACACTGGGTGACACGGGTGACTCGAGTTGTGTCATACCCTCGGCCACAGCACATGATTTCGCAACCATCCGTCCCTTTAGATGTCTTGCTGCAGACACGGCCCGCAGTGCCAAGGGAACCTGGGTTGGGGAAGAGAGAGAGTGAGAACCAAGCTACCTCTTCCTTCAGCTGCTCTGGGTTCCCTTACCCACATCCTCACGAGGAAACCATAAAGAATCCCTTTTCCTGAAAATATGCCCAACTAGCCAAAATGACCATCTCCTTGCTTCCCTCTGCACCAGGCTGGCTGGCTTCCCACTATCAAGGCTCCCCAAAGACCATTGACTTCACCTGCAACAACCCCCCCCCCAACCCCGCCAATACACAGCTCCGTATCTCTTTCAAGACCTGGCCTTAAAATGCTCCCAACTGTTAAAGCTGGGTAAGGGCTCTCCGTGTTTGAAGTTATCCATACTAAAAAGTTAAAAAAACAAAAAAACAAAAAAACAACTTAGCCTATAATTTATCTTTTCCAAGAAGTCTTGCCACAACTCTGATCCAGCTACCATTTGTTAGTATTTTGGTCCTTAGTTGATATTTTATTAAGTTGTACCATACAGGGAAGTAGTATAGTATGGCCATTAAAAGCACAGGCCTTATTGTCAGATTGTCCAAGTTTAAATTCCAGCTCCGCCACATCCTAGCTATGTGATTTTGCAAGGTAGTTAATCTCTCTGGATTTCAGTCTTCTCCTATGAAAATAGGCATAATAATAGCATCTAACTCAGTGGATTGTTACACTATGTCTATAATCTCTGTTCAACTGAGGAGGCAAACTGATTAGCATGACTGCCCAGAAGCATATCCCTATGGAATTCCTACAGAATATCCCTTGCCCCTTACAGTAGGAACTCTTGAAGGGTAAGGATGATGTTATCCCCCTGCACAGAGAATGCTCAGGACTTCATTCTGACCAATTTTAGCAAAAGAGATCCTGACAACGGATCATAAAATCATAGAATTTTGGATGGGATGGACCCTAGAAAGTACCTACCCTAGTCTTTCCCCAGAGATGGGACATTAACTGACCTGGGGGCTGAAGGAGGGGAACAGACTGACTGATACTCTCACAGCAGGCTGCACATTCTACTGCCATATGCAAAGAAAATGCTAGAACTAGGACTTCTATATTTGTTTTTTATCTCATAAACTTAAAATCTCTACTTTGTGTGTTTTATAATGTACATATTAATACAGTGGAATATATCTATCTGTTAGAAGTAAATATCCACATTTTGGAGGTACATACTCCCAAGAATTTTTTAACGATAGGAATATACAACCCAAAATGTTAGGAGGCCACTCCTCCAGCCTGTGACCTAACTAGTCCTACTCTCTCCTTCTCCTAACTCCAAGGACTGGGGCTTAAGTCCTTCTCTTGTGCACCCAAAGCCTCTTCTATAGACTGGAGCTGAGCTGTCCAGTGTAATAGCCACTAGCCACATGTGATCATCTAGATTTAAATTAACTAAAATTAAATACAGTTTAAAACTTAGTTTCTCAGTCACACTAGCTACATTTCAGATACTCAATAATCCCATGTGGTTAAGTGGCTACCATATTGGATAGCACAGATGTAGAACATCTCTATCATCACAGGAAGTTCCAACTGGACAGGACTGCTTTGGAGGGAATTTCTGGCTCCTTACTCCCTTGTAGGATGACTTATACCCTTTGAATTCCAGGCCCCACTTTGGGTTTTATGAGACTTAATTTTATGCCTCCGAGGAAAACCAACGCATACAGGACCCATCTACCTTCTAACTCCAAAGATCCTACCCCAAAGGTGCATTTTAGGTATGGCAACCTAGGCTTACACCTTGGATGCTATGGAGTTATTTCAAGACATTCAGAGAGTAGACCTCTGAATTGCATCACGTAGAAAGAAAACATACCTAGTGGCAGGACGTCACTGGGAGAATTGGAAGGGCTCTTTCCACCCTTTTTCTCCTAGCACCATCCAAAGGACACAAACTACTTTCTGTGTTACTTGGGTGAAGCCCCACCCTCTTTCTGTGCCCAGTTTTGCTCTGAGCCACTCGACTCTCCGGGAATGACCGTGATGGGTGAAAACAAACAGAACTGAAGACAGCTGAGGTCTCTGGCTCTATCTCACCCAAGGCCTGAGTGCCAAGTCTACAGAGAAGAGCCTGGGAGCGCATGACAGACCAGGGGAAGAGCTGTTCTTTTGCACAGCAGGTTGTTCCTAGTCTAACCTGTCTGAACCTGAAATATGAGCCAAGATGGTGACTTCTACTCTTTGGGGGCAATAGCATATCAAGCTCCAGGATCCCCAAGAATTCCACCATAAATATCTGGAACAGATTGAAAAACAATTTGCTGCTTTCTGCTAGTGGTTAGCCCTGCTGGGATCTCCTCTTTCCTTGCTTTCCCAGTTCCATTTTTGAATCTTCAATGGCAGCACACTGGATACTGGATTCAAGGCCACTCATGGTCTGATCCAAACCCATCTATCTACTTCTAGTCCCCCCATCCCAAACCTTCACTCAGTCAGGTTAATCTGAGTTCTCAGTTCCGAGAATGAACGTGTACTTTCCCACCTGCCACTCTGCTTCTCTGCCTGTTCTTCTCTCTAGGCTGCCCAGGTAATCCCTACACTTCAAGAAAGAGCTTAAGTTCCACATTTTCCAATAAGCTTTTCTGGATTTCTCCAGTCATCTGTCTTTTGCAGTTGCATTTGTCTCCCTGTTACATCTCATTTCTTTAGCTAGGCTGTAAAGAGCCAGAGACTTAGGACTCCATCACATGCTTCTTCTGTTCAACCCACCCATTGCTTGCTATGGAAAATGGGTGACTCATTTAAACATTCCCTGCATAGTACCTACTGTACCCCAGATGCTGGGGATAGAAAGGTGTGACAGATGACCTCTCCCCTGCTTGGGCAGCCCTGGGACTGGGGGACTGAGGCATTCACCACCAATCTCAGTATCAGGTGTTCGTGTCGGGAGGAGACCGACTCCTCCTACAGTACCGCTTCCCTAACTCCTGAGGCCGACCACACTGTGATTAACCAGGGCTGCCTGCACCAAGAGCTGGGGGCTCCGTGTCCCTACCTGCTTTCCTTACTCACCTGCAGCCTTGTCCAAGACACAGTAGTCTGGGGAGTTGTCAAAGTAGACAAGGTCAGTCCGGGTGGCACGGCGATAGCCTTGGCGGGCTGCTGTGAAGTTGGCGCCATCCTGGGTTGCTGTCACCTGCACGGCGCCATCATAGCGCCGCCGCAGGTAATCACCCGTGCGGCGGAAGTCTGAGAGTGCGCGCCAGCAGGTGCGCAGGGTACAGGAGCCGCTCACGCCATGGCACTTACACTCGAGCTTCAGAAACCGCCGCACGGCCTGGGTGGTGGGGAAGCAGGTGAGGGAGAGGCAGCCAGTCAGGGCACGTTTTAGTCCTCCCCGGGGGCTAAAAGCAGGAGTGCTCCGACATCTGCCGGACCTGGCCTAGGCTGGACAGAAGGGCCATCGGCTGTTCTCTCCCCCTATCAGATCCCACCCATTCTTCCTGACCAAAGTCAAGAATCTCTTCTTCCATGAATCCTTCCTGGAACTTCTTCCCCTCTTTTCTCGACCTTTCCCTTCTTTCCACCTATGTGAAGACACATTATGCACCTGGTTGAATCTAGGCATTCCCAAGCTCCCTTGCATTTACTGCTCCAATGCCATGGGGGTTGGGGTCTTTGGAAGTGATCCAGAAGCCTTTAGTGCTTCCACCTTTGCGTTCAGTCCATGATCACACACCCTGGTCACCCCCAGCAGACATGAACATACGTGCATAAACATGAGTACTGACCGTGCGACCACAGCGGTTGTTATGTAAGTTCATGAGGGCCCGGGCATCCTTAAGCCTCTTTTCCTTGGCATCCACAAAGGCCTTGGCAAAGCGAACACCATAGTGGATGTTGTCACTGCAGCCACCCCAGTCAAAATCCCCACGTTGGTCATGGTGTCGGCCACGGGTGTAGGGGTCACAGCTGCACACACTCAGTTCACCCTGGCTACAGGCGCGGGTGATGGCGTGGACCACCCCCGCTGACGAGATGGCATATACAAATGCTGCCTCCCGGCTGCCTACAGAGAGAAAGGGAGAAGGGTTCAGCAGAGAGGCCCACATCTGTCCCCTTGTTCAGCCCACGCAACCCCCAACTCTGCAACCTCCTCTCTTCTTGTCTTTCCCAGAGCAACTCCTATACCCCCTTTATTCAAGGCACCCTTCCCTTCCAAGAGCATTCCCCAGAGTATCTGACCTCTTCGCCTCGGCCCTCACCACTCTCTATCCACTTCTTTGTACATCTGACTTCTTGGGCTGACCTGTACTCTTGCCTTCTTCCAAACTCCCTGGGTCCATCCATTGAAAAGTTTCACAGTGAGTCATCCCCTCCCACAGAGGGGATGGCTCAGCTAAGCCTGCCTCGGTCCACATTCCAGGCCTTTTCAGGCCTACTCTGCTGGACAGTTCCCTTACAATAGAGACCCCAGCCCAGGGGGCAGCCTGTTTGGGGAGACCTGCTACTTTCCCCGGCCTGCTTCCTTCCCATCCTGCGCTTGGCGATTGATAACTCATCACCCCTGTCCCCCAGACACCGCCAGATTCCCATCTCGTTCCCTTTCTCCTAGTTTATTGTCTAGCTCGGCTTAGCTTTTTTGCTGAGCTGGGGCCAAGCCGCCAACTCTCCAAATATTTACATATCACCTTTCTGTTTATCCCTTGCCGCCATGACTGGAGTGTTGGGAGGGTTGGGGTGAGGGTTGGGGTGAGGGTAGTGATGGTGGCAGTAAGAACAGAGCAGCCATTCCCAGTCCTCAGCCCTACACCCAGGCTGGGCTTGGGGGCGGGGGGGAAAGGGAAGAAGGGAGAAGGAGGTGCCAGGGAACGCTGTACCTTTGTGCCATCATCCCAGAACACTGGAATTTAGAGGGGTCCCTGCCTACATCTCTCAGTAACTGAGGGTCGGTTCCCAGCCATCTCCTGGGCTCTGCCCTCAACCGTCTCTCTGATGATGAGGCAGTGTGGAGGAGAGGGGAGGAGGATCATGCCTATCCCCCAGCCCCCACCCCGGGCACAGAAGGGGAAGCAGGTGGGGCAGGGTGGAAGAGGCCCCTACTTCGGAGCATGACGCGGCCAAAGACAGTGTGGTCCCGGTCCAGCGTGGTGCAGTTCCAGCGGTGGTGGCGGAACTGGTGCTGACACTCCCGGATCCATTCTCGGGCGCCCTCGCCCACCGAGCGCATGATGTCTGGGTACCGCTGGCACAGCTGCCGCTGCCGGCTCACCAGGCCAGGGATATTGTCACAGATCACTCGCGCCCCCAGGGCCCCGATGTACCTGCAAGGTGGAGATGGCCCTGTCAGAGCAGCCTGGTCCTTTTCCTGCCTCGGGAGGGGGATCAGGAGGGGAGAGGTTTGGCATTCACAGCTTGAAGAGGTTCCTTCCCCTCCTCCAACCCACATTCCCGGAGGCCAACGGGTGCAGCTTTTCCCACAAGCTCTGGAGAAATGGTTACGCAGTTGCAGAGAGTCATTGAGTGGTCTCTCACCATCATCCGCTCCCCAGCCAGAGGCCAAAGTGACACACACTTGCAGAACACGGGCCAGGCATGTGTCACATACATAGACGCCGTGGGCATGTCACACAAACCCATTGCCTGTTTATTTAATAAACATTAAGAGCCTCAGAGAAAAATAAACTAACAAAACAAGAGTCTGAGACAACACTCTTACACCCACATGTGAGAGGCACGTCCTACATGGCTGGTCCATGAAGACATGGTTTGGGGGAGAAGGATGGAGACAGGGAGGGGCCAGTGGGAAGAGACATCGTGGGCAACTGGGAGGAATGCTTACAGCTCTAGTCAGATCCGTGTAACTAAAACTCCTCACCCCCAATCCTGAGGTCTGGGGAGGAACACTCCCCCCAAGATTTCCTCCCTGTACCCTTATTTCTAGGTCCCACGGCCTTTCTTAACTAATGAGGCTTTGAAAATCATCCTCCCCAACCTATAAGGGATGATGTCCTGGGTGAACCTGCCTGGGCAGAGGGCTGTTAGCAGTGGGAAGCCAAAGCCAAGATAAAGCAACAGAGGTGACCCTCCCCATATTCCAGTCCCCAGTCCACCTAATTCAAGCAATTGGAAGGAGGTCAGTTGGGGTGGGCTACTAAAAGTTAGCTGGGTTGCTAGAGTCACTCCCAAATTTCTCAAGGCAATATTTTCTCTTCACTCAAACGCTCTTAGCCCTGGACTCCACCGCAAGCCTTGGGAAGAATGTTTCAGAGAAGACAGGACTGCATCATGACCTTTTCTCCCCACAAGGCCACCAAATGCGATCTGACCCATTCATCCACTTCTCACTCCCTCGCTGTCTCTCCCAACATCTAGCACCTTCCTTGGCTTGCTGGGGATTCTCTGTTCTCCTAACACATCAAAGGGATACCTTTGTCCCCTTCTCTGAACAGGTGGGGGTCAAGGAGGGCAGTTGCTGCTACAGGCTGAAAAGATTTGGTTTGGTCTGTGAATGAGCGAGCCTGTGGTTTGGGAAAGATCCCAAAAATGAGCCTAGAAGTGGGTGAGGAGAACAGAAGGCAGCCAGCGGGGTGAGGGGAAAAGCTGGACTGCCCTGGGCTCTATGTCCCCCTCCCCTCCCCCCCTCGCCCACATTTGCGAACCCGGCCCTCACCCACAAACTAGGTCACCGCTGGTGACACCAACTCAAACAAACACAAGGAGGGCTGATGCTTGCCTCTTCTGGAGCTGAGCAGGGCTGATGGGGCCCATCTGTCCCTGGGGAACAGGGAGAGGGCTGGTCCACCACTGACAAATCCCATGGAATCAGCGTCCCCAGCAGCACTGTCCATCAGGGCAATAGCTTCCAGGAACAAACAAAATAAACACCCCGGGCTGGGCCAGGCCGGAAAAGGCCGCCTGACGCACAGCCTGGAGTTACACCCACTGCCGCGGTGCTTTGTTTGGAGAATCAAGACCGTTGGAATTGGAGCTCGTCCCTGTCTCACCACCGTTCTGCTTCCCCAGTTCAACCCAAGTACTGCTGTAAGCAATGGGTGTTTGTTTTTTTTACTGGGGCTTGGAAAGAGGAGGGTTGGATGGGAATGGGAGACCAGTAATCCAGCCCTCATGAGACAGTCTGGAGTGGGGCAGGCCAAACTCTGGCAAAAAGTCCTTCCTGTGGTCTGACTTAAATCCATTCTGCTGCAGCCCACATTGGTCCTTCTTGTTACATCCTCACTGAGCGTGGGAACATCTGTTCAGTATCTAAGACAGGAAGATAATTACGTTTCTCCACAACCACCCATACCCTCTAAGTAGCTGCACTAAGTACCCCACTAAGATTCTGCAGAGCAGGGCGCTTGCCTGCGGGCCAGTGGTCAGGCCCTTGTAGTTGGTGTGGGGGCCTCCAATAAAACTGAGCCTGAGCCCCCTCTCAATTCAACACATGCCTGCAGAATGCCTACCGTGTGCCAAGCATGGAGCTCAGCTGTTAGGGCACAAAGATGTTTAAGGCACCCCCCAGCTCATTGGCTGGTAAGAGGGGGTGAAATGCCCCGACTCCAGCTCTGTTTTCCCTTCCAGAAGTTTTCACTTCCTTCCCGGCTTCCTGCCCCAGAATGCTCCCTACACCTGCTTTTGACCAATTCACATCCCTTCCTTTGACAGAGTGACTCATACCCTACTCTAGTCCCTTGCTTCTCAAAGTGTGGCCCCGATAAAGAACAGCAGTATCGGCATCATCTGGGGATCTGTTAGAAATGCAGAGCCTTGGGCCCCACCCCCAGCCTACTGAATCAGAATCTGCATTTTTACCAACATCCCCAGGTGATTCAGACACCCTGTTCCATGAAGGTAGGGATTTTTGTCTGTTTTGTTCACTTTGCTATCCCCAGAACCTAGAACTGTGTCTGGCACATAGTAGATACTTAATAACTGTTTGTTGAATAAACACCTAACTGCTCTGATTTACTGCCAACTCTCTTTTCCCCCTAGCCGGCCATAAACTTCATTTCAATTACAGCCTCACTCCTGTTGACATTGCCAGCCTATTTGCAGATGTTTTATATTTGTGTCTTATTAATGAGGCCAGGGATCCTCTTTTCATTTCCCCTCTTACAGTCCCTAGTGTACACAATTCAGCCCAGCCCACACAGGGCTTTGAATGCAGGGATAAAACTATTACCCTCCCTGGATCTCTCTATACCACATTTATATGGTGCTTTACAGTTGATAAAACGTTTTCCTTAACAAAAATCATACGAGACAGAGAGAGATCTCCATTTTACAGATGAAGAAACGGAGGGTCAGGGAGTGTGATAACACCCAGCTCTGTCCATCAGGGCTAGTCAGAGGAGAACCAAAGGACATCTGATTCCAAAGTCCAAGTTCATTTTTATCCCAAGAGCAAGAGAGACAATACAGTGCTTAACCAGGAATAGAGCAATCTAGCTCCAAAACTGGTGTGCACTTGGGCAAGTCTCTTACCACTCCCCTCCTAGCCCTCATTGTCTTCATGCGTGAAATGGGGATAATAATAGTATCTACCTCCCTGGATTACTCTGGGGATTGAAGAAGATGATGCTCGTAAGGTACTTAGCTCTAGTGTCCAGAGCTTAGTAAAGGCTCATGAAATGGCAATCGTCGTTGGTAACAATAATGCTAGTATTATTGCTATAATCCATGAACACTGTCCTGCTCTTGGGATTCCCTACATCCAGCTCCCTGCAGAATGCAAAATAGAACAGGGAAGCACATGCGAGGAGCCCCTTATTTCTTGTTCTGTTTATCACAGAATAAGAAGAGACCATCTGTTTCCTCCTCCAGTGAGAGGTGGGGAGAGGGAAGGAGTGACTGGAGAGTAAGGGAAGGGCCGTGGGGAAGATCAGACTGTTAGCTGGCGATAGTGATGACCTTCTGCTCCGGATTGGAACATGGACACACACAGAGTCAACAGGCATCTCTTCCAGGGTTTGGACAGAATATCAATCTTGCTGGGGTTTTTTCCTAAAGGAAAGAGAGATAATCACCTTGGGGGCCTGACCTGCCTTTAGAAAGCAGCTTTCCACTTTATCTCAGAAGTGATGACCACTGAGGAGTCATCTGGGGCCTACAGCTGTGACAGGTGTGACTCAAGGAGATTGAAATGACCTCTGCACTCACTCCCCGTCCTGGATCCGTTGCTGCCTTCCTCGCTTTCACTGGGACTGCTGAATCCCTCTGTATCACTGGCTTGCGCCCTCTCTAGCTCTTCTACCCAGAGTTTTTCCAGAATATTTAATGTGAACCACGTGGGGTGAGAGTAGAAGGGAGAAAGGAAAGGAGAGGGAGTAGCCAAGTAGCATTTGGGGATCGGGAAGCACACTAGTTGGATCTTTAGGAAGCACTACCAGGATGCTGAAATTAGCAAAGTGTCGCTTCCTCACCTAAACACCAAGTGGTCCCCAAACTACCTCCCAAACTGGTAAGAAGCAATCAAGAGTCCCTAAAGGCAAACTGCCATCTGGGATGGATAAAGATGGGCAGTGGTCACTTCATCCTCTCTCCATCGGGCCACTGAACACACAAATCCCCAGCCAAACTGAGCCCCTGATGGTAAAGGGTGGCTCTGTTGAAAGGCTTTTCTCCTTGTCGTCCCCTCTTCTCTTTCCCTTCCTAAAAGAATGTTTCAAGCCAGATGTAAGATACGGGCCTCCCTTCTCCCCCATCCAGAACCCCCTCCCTTGCCTTCCCCAACACTGCAGAGATTAAAAAGATCCAAAAGAGAGATTTTCCTGAAACAGGAAAATGGGGGGTGGGGGGTGGGGATGGAGAGCAACGCATCTTGAAATGATAGGAATCTGCAGCCCAAGCTTGCTGGCCCCTCAGCCAGCCCACCCCTCACCCTTCTAGCCATGATTCCAAGTCTAGAGGAGAAAAGCCACAGGGTGCAAGGGGAGGAGAGACCCCTCTTTGTGGTGGGGAGGGTGGGGGGGAGGGGCAGCGTAAGGAAAGGAAGGGGGCACTGCATGGGTAGGGAGGGGCAAGAGCCCAGTCTGAGGCCAGTTTGATTGGGGGGGGGGGTCAGTGAAGAGGAAAGATGAGAAGACTGTCTTTTCTCAGTCCAACTCCCCCCCCAATCCCCCCCCCACAGAAGGTGGGGGAGGAGGGAGAGCAGCTCTTTCTCCTGAGAGAAAAAGATGAATGCCATCCAGGGCTGGGGGGGTGGGGGGCCGCAGGAGGATTCGGAAAAGAACAGACATCCAGTGGGTGTTTTAATGCCTTTTGCCTCATCTGCCCTCTTGTGAAGTGTCTGGAGTCTCAGGCCTGCAAGAAATCCGAGGGGAGCGTCTCTTAATACTGTGGGACTCCAGAAGCCTCTAGTTCTTGGAGGGGAGAGAGATGGAAGAGATAGGGTGGTCATCTAGGGGAAGAAAAAGGAAGAAGAGAGGGATATCAAGGTTCGAAGTAACCTCCTCAAAGCTGCCACTGAAGACAAACGCCAAAATTATGCAAACCCAAGTGTTTTGTTTGTTTTAATTGTGGGAGTTAATGGAGTATTTTTGCATTGATTCCATTTCTGAGCCTTGCGCTGCGTGCTGCAGCCTCCCCGAAGTCTTACTGCGTTCCCGGGTGGGGTGGACGAGCGAGAGGCCCGTGCGCCCTTGCTAGCTGCGCTTTTCTCCACTTCTCAGGGGGGGCGACCGTAGGCGATCAGAGGGTCCTTTGGACGGCCACTCAAGGCCCCCCGGATGGGCGACTGGTTCCTTGAATCCACCCTGCGAGAGACCTGGAAAGTAGCTTTTGCTCCTAAGAGGAGCGGGCCCAGCACACGAGAGTCTGGGAAGCCTCGACCACCGGGCGTCTTTGCTCCGAATGCCCAGGACCCACCTCGCTGGGCGAGCTGCACACCTATCCACCCACCTCCCCCCCCACACTCCGCGACTTCGGTGACAGTCCTGCTCGAATCGTCTCTAATTCCGTCGAAGCGAAAGCCTGGTCTGAGCAGCCCGTGCCAGGAGCTGCGTATTGCCTCTGGGCGCCTCCGGCCGGACTCTGTCTGCCCAGCGCCTCACCCTCCCCACCCCGAGAGCCGCGCTCACCACCAGGATGTGTCTACGCGGGCCGGCAGCGTCAGCAGCAGCAGCAGCAGCGGGCAGACAAGACCGAGGCGGGCCGAAGCCCGAGAGCCGTCGGGGGCCGCGGGTCCTGGCGCGAGCGCGGGGACAGGGGCGCGGGTGCGCCGAGGGGGGAGCTGCGCGGCTTCCTCCGCACTACCCGGCTTCAGCATAGCTCCCCGATGACTCCCGCCGCGCGGCCCGGAGGGGCGTGGACGGGGCACCGGCTCGGGGTACTCAGGCTGCTCCCACCTCACCCCCCTGGGGAGCCATAGGGCTCGCCGCTGGCCGGGGACCCAGGGGCACCTGGAGTCCAGGAGCCGGGTCGCAGGGTCCCGGAGAGGGGCGCAAGGAACGGGGTCCGGAAGCCGACGGGGGCGCGCCAAGCTCGGGGTCCGGGACGCGCTGCCCCGGCGCTGGGCGCGGTGTCAGGGGGTCGGCGGCGCGGAGTGGGGCTGCGGGCAGAGTGTGCGGACAGCCCCTCGGCCGCGGGCTCTCATTGGACGGCGCGGGGCGGGGCCGAAGCCGGGGAC